TGATATATATAAATTTCATAAAAGCACACACAAAAAAAGAGAAAATCTGTTAAGTGAAGACAGGTAACCCCAAACCGGGGGGTAAGCGTTTATAGCAACAGACTTTTAGGCATTCAGCAATCCCCTACCTTGTGGAAGTAGAAGTTTCTGATGTCACTCAAGCAGAGAAGGAGATCCACAATGGCAGAACGAACTGAAAGTGCACTGTCCAAGATCAAATGACCCAGTCTTGGTAAAAGCACTTTAAGGACCTCATGAGAATGTGGCTTTCCCAATAAATATATGATGCCGCCAACTGCAGAATTCCTGACATCAGTGCATGCATCATGCACCATTTGGTCGAAAACCTTGGTGAGTGTTTTGGTTATTGTGAGAGAAGGGATAACTTCCCAGAACATATGAAGAATCCGGCAGCAACCTTCAACCGCTACAACTCGCACATCTGGACATTCATCCATGACTAATATATCCATAAGAAAGAACTGTTTCTCAAGAAGGGAGTCCTTTCCCTCCATTGTAGCATCAGGGTCTTCAAGAGGAAACAAATCCAGAAGTAAGTGCAATGCATTTTGACGGACATTCGAGTTTGCAACCTGCAGCAAAGTTTGCACATAATTTCAAGGATCCATTTGGGACCAAGAAAATAAATATGTAAAAGAAAAAAGGGATATAATACTCCGGGTATTATTTATGTTTGTTTTCTAAATACTGAGAAGTTAGAAACCTAAATTTAAGTATATTCAAATATTAAAAATTAGACTTCATTTTCCTTTGACTTTTTAAATTAAAACAAACATTAAAATAGTTCCCAATATTTTTTCCTTTCCCATCCATTTTCACATTCCAAACATAGACTACAAATTATGCTCTCGTTGCATATCTATGTAAAATAACAAATAACTATGAAAACTCTGATGCGCAGAGAGACTATGATAGCCCAATTCCAAATTCTGGTTAACAATAACACTTCAAACCCCAAAAAAAGACACTATGTACGTTAGTTAACATGGACGAAATGTTTGCATTAGGAGCAAACAGAGCAGCAGAATCCAATAGCCATCACAATACCTGCAGAGATCGAAAAATGATTGGCTCAGCAAGGCGAAAGAGGACTCCCTCAACCCCATCTGTAGTTCTCTGGGAAATGAAACCCCCCAAAATCCTCCTAATTGATGCAGAAAAAGCAGCTGAGCTTGCATGTATAGCACTATCAATCATCATTTGCAAAAACCTATCCTCTATTTCAACCCTTGCTTCCCCTTCTGCCGCCTTCCATGCCCTGAAAGTTATTTCACCAAAAGCTTCCAAAGCAGATTTACGTCCAAAGGGAACCTGTGACCTAATCATTTCCAATGCCTCCTTCACTAACTGCCCACTCAATCCAAACATAAACGCTATGAACTTCCTCCCATCCTCCATCTTTAGAAACAGAGGTGAAATCACACACCTCATCATCAGATGCTTCAAATCCACAATACTCTCATCATCAAAATCAAAAAGATTGAACGCTTCACGCATAGCGTACAATCTGTGCACATGGACTTTCTTCGTTGATGTCAAAGCCCTAGACAGCAAAAGCGGCAGTGATCGAGTGATTAATGATTCTTTCCCAATCAAATCACTCTTCCACCACTCTTCGCAAACACAAGCAATTTCAGATAAGAGTCCGGAATCCGACTCAAATAACACCAAATTATCGTGCAATTCACGGGCAGCCGGCAATAAATCAGACGCACCGAATATACCTTTGGGATGTGAAATGCTTTGGAGCAAAATGTAAGCAAAAAGCTGCAGACTTTCCACAACAGACTTCCTTCTGTCTTCAATTTTTCCATTGCTTTCTTTTTTTGTACTTGATTCGTCGGCATCGTTTTTCAGGTTTCGACCAGATCTGCGAACCCGCTTGGCGGGAGGCGTGTTGGGGGGATTTTCTCCGGAAGCGTCGGGATTTAGGTCATTGAGGTTCTTAAACTTCTCAATTGCTTGAGAAATGGAGTCGCGGAGGGCCGACGGGAGAGAACCGGCGACTTCGGAAGAAGCTTTGAGTCCGTGAATTAGGGTTTTGAGATGGAGTTTCGATGCGTTAGTAAACCCTAGTTTGGAAGCTGACGAGAGAAACTCTACTGCTGAGGTATGGAGCGATGAACGAAGTCTCTTCTCCATTGAAGCCCGCTGATTCTATCTGCGTGCAGGTGACATGGAGCGGCAAAAAGATCCACACACCTAATTCGCCGCTCCTAAATTTTGAATTCTAACCGTTACCCGTTTGGCGCTTTTGTTTTTGAAATAATGGTCAGTAACGAAATTTTTATTTATTTATACATTTTGATTGATTATTAAATAAAATAAAATATTCTATTTTATAGAATTTTTGATGTATTTCCTTAAAATATGTAAGCTTTTTTAAGAAAAATTATATCAATCTTTAAATAAAATTAATTAAAAAAGGAAGTCACCTCGAATAAAAGTAAAACATATTCCGCCCTCGAATAAAAGTAAAACATATTCCGTAGAATTTATACTCAAAATAGAAATTACATGTTTTTTATATCTGAAATAAAAGTTTACACTATGACATTATGTCATTGTATAATGGCATCCCAATGTATTTTTTGGTATTATATATTGACATTGTACTCCTATTTAGGAGATAAAAATGTCGAGCTCTTATTTTGGTATTTTCTTCATATTTTACTCCTATTTTAGTCTTTTTTATCTTAAAAAACTTGAAAATTTGCTTCATTTTGCGTAAAGTATAAAACATTTTGGAATGAAGAGAATATTTTTCTAACAGGCCCGAATTCCTTACCATTGGAAAACGGTGTCACTCCGATGCCACTGAGTGCTTCAGTGCTCCATTCACAAAAATGATGGGTTCTACCTCGTGGTAAACCCGCCATCTCGGCCAGACAAGGACCCATCCCTCCTATCCCTTTTAATTACTTTGGAGTCAAATTTTTTACCCCAAAGTTTACTAAACCTGAATAAAGTTGGATGATACTCTTTCTGTCCCCCATAGATTTTATCATTAGTCATTTTATTTGTTCCTCATAGTTCTCATCATTACTTTTTTTACATTTAAAATACCACAACTATCTCCATTTACTTTATTAATACATCTCATCCACCTCATTTAATATACTCCACCCGTTTTCATTAAGGTATTTTGATCAACTTTTACTTTTTTATGCTCTTAAAAATTACAAAAAGACAAAACAAAACATCTTAGGTGAACGGAGGGAGTACTTCCTACTTTATCAATCGTGTCATATAAGTATAATGGATTTTGAATGTGTGGAATGAAGTTAGACTAGACGCAGTACTCTACATTTGGAGGGGGTGGCTTTGGGGGGCTGAGGCAAGGGTTTAGAGGGATGAAAGGTAAGAATCCTTAATTTTGAGAACGCTAGAGGAGTTGTTGGCCAGTGTCAACGGAACCACCATCTACGTTTTATCAAATAAATTGAAGGAGCAAAAGTAACATCATATTTTGAAATCTCATTTAAATATTACCCCAAATAGTTTAAAGTTATGTGAGAGTTAGAATCAATTTTTGAGTCAAGCTATACTTGAAACTATTGGTCTTAATAACCCGACGTGCTTGCAAAAGTTCTGACTAAAACTTTTAAATTTTAAAATCTGAATTGAAGTCATGTCGTATTCACTCTTACTTGTAAGGCTCGGTAAGATATTGCACTATAAAGATGGATACGATCACTTCTATCGTTTTTCATTCTTGAAATGGAGGAACCTGAATCAGAACCTCTTGGGACCCATTACGGCGTTACGGTTCTAATCCAGTTCCACTAGCAAATTCGTTCTAACTCTCATCCGTTTATTATTTTAAAAAAAATAAATATACTCAATGCATAACAAACAAGTATTATCAGATTTTAGATTAACATAAATGTAATTCTTCTCACGAACTTAGTTCACTATTAAGTTATAAAATATAAATACAAGTTATACAACTAAACTCAAATTTATCTATTCAAATCCCAGTAAGTTTGAAAATCATCGATTTGAATACTAATTCTGAATTAAAACCATGTTTACCTTTATTACATCGATGAGGCAATCTGGCGGTGAGCTAGTGACCACCCCCCCCCCCCCCCCCGATATGGTTTGGTGGATATGCCTACAAGACATGTGTTGGTCGCAGTCGATTGTAGCTATAAGTATTTTTGGAGCATGGGTGCCTAAAACCCCAATATTTGAAAAAACGATCGTGCTAGGGGTGTATATTAAGGAGTGCAATCCAAATTGTACTTCAAAGTTACGCACTAACATTTTGATGGTTCATACGGACACAGAATACTAGTGCAATCAAAAAAATTTGCATTAACATTTTGTATCACAATGACACTACTTCATTACTCTTGGAAGTAACATAAGAACATGGGATTCACATCCATTTTTGCATGGTACCTCCTATTTACAAATTATTGATTCATTAATAGAGACACCAAGTTGGCTCGCCCGAGTTAAATAGTCAATCTTCACTCTAACTCGCATTGGTCAATGTGCTTGATTCATATGTAGGGTGGGTTTGGAAACAACTTCAGCATTTAAAAAAGTGTGTCTAATGACATAGTTTAGCTATATCGTTTTAAAAGTTAATCTATATCATCAGATTTTTATCCAAAATGCTAACAATTCTAAAGAAACAGTATTCCCAAACAAGGCCATAAACTAATCCATAAAACTAATTTAAAATAGCTAAGCACTCCAACTTAGAGCCATGTACCAAAGGTCTTAAGAGGCTCAACCCACATATCAACTTCCATTATCTTAGTAAAATAGGTTGGTGTCATAATTTATCTCTTTCTTGGCATGCATTGGGATGAACAATGTAAGGATGATAAATTTTATCTTTTGGAACATGATTAGTCGGGTATGTTGAGACTTTGGTGTTGATTTTCTATTGTATTTCACTTTTGTTGGTCCAAAATAGGACACCAGCCAATGCATTCATCATTACAAAGCACATGTTTGCTAACAGACAATTGATCTTCAGTAAGATCACAGTTTTGTAGGTGGGAAGAGATGAGAATGATAAAAGGGCAATATGCTTATTTTAGTCTGTTAAGATGGCACACACAAAGATTCCAATTGTGTTCCCAACCAAAGTTGCATTAGTTGTAGCTTATTGTTGTTGTTGTTGTTTACTTATTGCAATTCACTTGTTCATATGATCTTAATGTTTAATCATGTTTCATTGCACCAGATAGCTAGTTTTACACTAATGTTTAGCTTCACAGAACTCTCAATTCCTATGCAATTTAAGAAGGTCACTATATCATATTGGGGCAGACACGTCCAAGTTCTTGAACACCGACGATGCCACATCCATGTTTGCTACATTTAAAAAGCAAATATAGAATTATTAAGGCTATGCTCGACTACAAGAAGATAATTTGAATGTATGTTGTGATATATTCAATATGTCCATCTCATGAAGGCAAAAGATTCTTATTTTGGAAAATGATTCTTTTCATTATGTTCTAAAGGAAAGCAAAGACTAAGCAAGTAAAAAAAGAATCTAGTAGTTCAGCCTTTCTTTATGTACCAAATGCAGGAGAGATGCAGCAAATAATGCACAAGAGAGAGGAAACACTTGTATCCCAAAAATCTCATGAACTCAGCAGGCAATATGTTCATTATATATTCCTCATTAGAACAAAACAAAAATGCATATGAAAGACTATGTAGTAAAGAAGCAGCAAGTGAAAAGTATGAACTAGCTAGCAGCTTTGACGAATAGGAACTCAACCAAGAGCTAGTCTGAAGACAGCATTCAGCTGTTTCATTTTATTATAGGCTTTTATAGCTTTGTGTTCTATATAATCTTACTTTCTCCTCAACACTTCTTTGGACTTCATAAAGCAATCCCTTTCCTTAAAGATGTCTCTTTTATTCATCACTTGTTTGATTGTCACAACTGAGATTACCTCATTTCCAATGCTTGATTCCGCAAAGATAAAAAAATAAATCAAATTCCACTACCTTGATTAATCTTCTTAGAATGCCAATCTTGGCCATTGTCATTGAATGTGAGCCTTCTCTTGGAGCGAATAGCAATGGAAGTAGAAGGTTTATCAGGAACACTTGGGCTCAAACCATGTAAAGATGGATTTGGTAAAACTGAAGATTTTGGAGTGTTGGACTTAACCCTATCCATTTCTTGAATCATATTATAACAGTCGAAGACATGTTCCTGTAAAAATGACTTTCATTTGTTAACTAATCAACGGAAGCTAAGAACATAAACACATAAATAGAAAGACAATTAAAGATTACGGTCTTTTTAGGAAACACACTTTTTCCAAGCATCCCCAAGATGTGATCATATCTGTCTTAAACTCCATTGCTTTCCTTGTTAGCTTATAATCATAAGCTGCTAAAACAGACGCTGCAGCAATAAATGATGCCCGGCGTTCCACTAAATTAACCTCTGCACACAGCCGTTCAAATTAAGAATTTAAGAACCACACCCGCCAAATGCAAAGCACATCATTAAGACCAAAAAGCTTTCAATAATCCATATACCTCTCATTATATCCACAATTAGTTCAACGGCTTTGGGAACTATCTCTGTTGGTCTCGGTTCTCCACAAAACTTGGTGACAAAATAGTGGACGAACGAAAATGGTGTCATCAAATTCATTTTCCACTCCAATGTATTCAAGACCAACAACTCCATTCTTTGAATCACACTGCCTGCAAAATGGTAGTCATCTACATGATATTGAGACAATGCCGGAGCTTTATTCTCCTCAACCTTTGCAGCCAAAGCTAAACAAGCAACTGATAGCAATCGGATAGCCCACGTCTTCCCTATCTTTAATCACCATAAATTAACTAATTCAGTAATTCCAACCAAGAAAGATCTAAATAAACTTCAAATAATTATGATTCGGATATCCAAAACAGAAAGGATTCTTACAGCAACGGATGACCTATACATGAAATGATCGAAATACAGCATAGATAGATAGGCAGTACTGGATTTAAACCCGAAAATGGCTCGATTCTGTGTCAAAAACCATTTCAAGAGCATCAATTAAATCAATTCCCACCGATGAATGAACAGATTAACAGAAACCAAAGGGGAAAAAGGCACAAACAGTGAGAATCCAATTGGCCGCTTCCAATCGAGCGAGTTTCAACCAGCTTTGTCTACTCGCAGATGAAGAATTGTCGACCGATTCTCCTCCCGACAGAGAACCTATATCTCTCTCGATCATCATTTCTATGTACTCGATATCG